TACTTTCGAGCAGAACGTTCTGGTAAAGCCAAACAACAACTTGCCAAGAGACATCCACATTCTGATGGGATTGGCCTTCGAATCAGCTCTTAACATTTTCATTTACGATAGGAACGAGCTCAACGATGGATGGAAGCTATCCTCCGCGCATCCTATTAGTCATGACGTTTTCACTATAAGTTACCTAGCTCTAGTACTTGAAGCGATATAGGACTCAATAAAATCTTAAATCTATTTCGTTTTCTACTGTAAGATATATTCGTCATCTTGAGCTTCATCTATACCACAATAACTTAATTTTCAATATTTTTATCCAATCCTGTTCTCTCCACTCTGGCATGTCGTTTCGGATTTTAATCTACTTAAATTTCTCATGCGGTTCTAATAACGTTCAAGTACAATAAAGAAAATAATTATATTATTAAGTCAAGCATTTTTTATCCAGTCTTCTATATCTAATTGCCAATGAATGAGCGATGCTGCTAGTTTTTGCTGAGATTCCATAATTGCTCCGATGGTAACTTAGATTTGCTTCTTTTAGCCTCACATTTTGGTTGCTTTGCTATTTAACAATCAGAATCTTTCTTTGCAGATTTTGTTGGCTTCTCTTTTATTTTTTTATTTATTTTTCACTCGCCATTTAAAGTCAATTCCTAAATCTATTTCGCTTTTCTTTATCATTTCCGTCATCTTTAGTCTCTTACTATGTGCCTTTGTTGCCTCAGCAAGGTGATGCTCACGCCAATCCTCCTTCGCCACTTGGCCCACACACGCTTTACCATTCTTCGCTTGATAAAAATTCTCAAATAGACCGCTCGACTGATTCTATCTTGTCACCTGGGCACAACAAAGCATTCATAAGCTCCTCAACCGCCAATCCGGCTCCTGAATTACTACCTTCCAGCGCTCCGTCCAATACAGACTCACAGGTCCGCTCTGACCAGTTACACCCTGATTCATTTTTTCTCAGCAATTCTCCTCGAGGCTCCACTTCTTGTGCTCCTTCTATCACACCTACTGTAGGTGCAGCTAGTGGACATTCATTCTTGAGGACTAATTGTCGATTGGCTGTCGCGGTCAGTGCCACTCTGACACTAAGCCCAGCCCAGCGCTATGAAGACTTGAGCCTCGAACATGGAGCTACAACTGTAGGGAACAATGACTTTCTTAGCAACGACATTCGGCCAAGTCAAGCTGAAGCCGAGTTCGCCGTAGTTTGGCACATGCCTCTAGTCCGTTTTCGCACTGGTCAAGTGGTCTACAAGAGGTGCGTCTACATATACACTTCTTCGTGTTTGTGCTTGCTCCCTTCTTAGCATCATTTTTTACCACCGAGATGGTGTGGCCTTCCGTTTGGTCGCAGTCTCCTTTAGCTTTATAGTGGTGATTTGATTGTGACAGAGGATGCAGGACTGCCTACATTCCACAAGGTTTATTTGACGCTCCGACCAAGTTGCGAAAACGAGGTCAAGCCAGCGATACAATTTTTAGTTTTGATTCGGTCTTGTT